TGTCCCGGAGGTGGTACGAAGCCAGCGTCTCCTCCAGCACCGAGCGATACTGCCCCCGGTGGTTCATGCGGAAATGGCGCAGGGCTTCGAGCAGGTGGGCCGCCGTGCTCCCGTCTCCCTCCTCACTCTCCTCCTCTCCCCCCGCACAGGCCTGGGGCGACACCAGCCATCAGACTAGCACCAGGTTACATTTTGTACCTCTAAAAACACCAAATAAGACATCACACTTTCACCGTATCACTGCGTTCAGTAAATAATACAAAGGAAGTCAGGTCTAGTTTGTTCAGTGTTTAGGGTGACCAGACATTCCCATTTCCCCGGGACAGTTCCAGTTTTGACGCCTGTGTCCCCTGACCCAGCAGATTTATCCAAAACCAGTGATTTGTCCCAGTTTTATACAAAAAATGTCCCTATTTTAGACCAGTCTGATCCCGGCCAACAGTAAAGAGGCACATACATTGTCAAAATACAGAAAAACTGCTTAAAAAATGACCAAAACACAAAGAAAATGTGAACATACCGACTCACCGAGTGCGTAACAAGTGTCCCAGGTTTTGATTTTGAAATTCTGGTCACCCTATACAACCAGGAACTTAACATAACTTTCGCATCAACTTTACAGAGTAGACAAGCAATTTCACACATCACTTAAGTCCTGCTAAAATTATTTCAAATTCCAAACCAGAATTCAAAGTTTTGTTTTTTTCATTTTCTTTCAAACTCTTGATAATGCTGTCTAGTTTTTTTGTGTGTACCTCTTTATATAGGTCAACTTATTTACAGTAACTGTCTGAGGTCTAAAGGTTTAGCCTGAAAAATTGATCTAAGACCCACATTTCTCTTTTTGGATTTCACAGTTCCTGATTCCGTTAAATAACTTCCCAGAAAGTGACAAATTACTCAGGCTACAAAAACCAAATAGGATATAAAGATGATCAAAATACAGAAACAATGCATTGAGTACGATCCGTGTACCATTTGCTCTTTTGAATTTCAATTAAGAGCGAAAATAAAATCTAATAAAATGCAAAAACAGTTTATTGCATTGTTCCTTTTTAGTGTCAAACACAAAATAGATTTCAACCTCTATTTCCAATATTTAATTTAAAGTTTATTTCAAATAACACCAATCAAAAACAGTCTCAGTACCTATTTTAAGTTTGATATTTTATTCTCACTGGCTTATTTGGTCCAGAAGTTCTGCTGCTAGAAGGACTGCCCTGAAAAATCGTTGCAGTTTTGTTGACAAACATGTCGTCTTATTTTATAGCGACGCGTTTACTTTTCCGTCTTAGAAAGTCATTGTTGTACTCTATGACAATAAACTCTAATTTATTCAGTTGAGCAGCAGAACTTCTGGGGCAAATAAACCAGAGAGAATAAAACATCAAAATTGAAAAAAAGGCACCAAGACTATTTAAAATTAGCCTAATTCATCACGTGTTTCACTTCGTAGAAACCGTCTGACCTCGCAGCATTAGGATTCGTTCGTTCGACGTTAGGCAGGTACTTTTTTTATTTAACCAATCACTGCTATTTGGCCGTGACGTATGTAATGCGCTGCTAACGGGACTAACTGGTACATTAAGCTTTTCCCAAATCCCGTAGGAAGAAGGGCAATAACGTCTTTCACCTTGATAAAATTCACCAAACATTCTCTTTGTTCCGGCTTTAAATCCTCGATCTCGGGAATCGTTGACAACACAGAATGTATGACTCTTTGTTGATTGGCTGGTGCCCGAACTTGCACTTCTGGGGTTTTTGAGAAATGTCTAGTGTATTCTGATTCCTGACCTAGTCGCTGGAGAGAAATGAAATTGAGCAGAGGCACTAGGTAGAACAAGCTTGTCTAATTTAAAATAACCCCAATCAAAAAAAAACTAACTTTAAATTAAATATTGTAAATAGAGATTGAAATCTGTCTTTTTGTTTGACACTAAAACAGAATAATGAAATAAACTGTTTTTACATTTTACTGTTTTTCGTTCTTAATTGAAATTCTAAAGAACGACCGGTACATGGACCGAGTAAAACTTCTTTACGGCATCAGCACGTGTCTCAAAGTCGCTGACAACTCAATGAGCAAGTATAGATTTTATATGTGTTACAAGACTTGGTTTGGCTGTAAAACGTACTTTAAGGCCTTGTTAAAGCTTTGAGGTTGCTTTCCTCACCCAGTTCATTCATAAAACAGAGGTAACAGAAGCACGCGCTCGCATTCACGTCCACTGTAAAGATAAAGCGGCGTTAAGCAAAAACTATTTTAAAACCAAGTTCACCTGGCAGCCCTCCACGCAACAAAACACCAAATTAAAGTAGAAATATAGTTGGGGCGTTGTCCGAAACTCAGATTAAAACACAATAAATTATCTTAAAAGTTGTGAAATGTTTACATTAATAGCCCAAAACTTCAGCTACAAAGCAAGATTCCTCAAAAGATACGACAACAGTCTCGATTCATTGAAGCTCGCTGCCCCAGGGAAAGGAGAGTCGTGAACATTAATTTCCTTTTAATTTGGCTTTTGAAAGTTTTAATGATTTTCTGGGGCTATGTTTTGTAAAGCGTAGTTCGTAATGAATAGACTTATTTATAATAGTCAATCACAAGATGTCGTTTTTTTGCTAAAAGATTGTCTTGAACCAGTAAACTCAGGGGTAAAATGAGGGCATTGTTAGATTAAAAATGATATCTTAATACAATTTTATGTCATTTATTTTCAAGTAGTACACAAAAAATTGGTAGTTTGTCATGGTTAGTAGAGTGATCTCTTTAGATAATGTTCGTCATTGTTAAAAAAAAAAAAAAAAAGAAAAAAGAAAAGTGAATAGTAATGAAACTTTTGTTTAGCTTTTGAAAGTTTTAATGATTTTCTGAGGCTGTATTTTGTCAAATGTAGTTCTCAGATGAGGGAGGAGTAATCACAAGATGTTTTTTTTTTGTTAAAAGATAAAATGAGAGTATGTGTTTGTTACTGTTATCTTAAAATTTTAACATACACTAAAACAATCTTATGGTTTGTATTTTCAAGTAGAAGTTATATTATATTCCACAAAATTGGGTAGTTAGTCATGATTAGTAAAATGAGCTCTTTAGATAATATTTGTCATCATATTTACATAAAAAAAAAAGTCTGAATAATAATGTGACAGATCTGAGTAGTTCAGTGAAAAAAGCGAAACAAATTTCAGAAAATAAAAACAATCTTGGACAACGTGAAAAAAAAAAAAAAAGAGCATTATATCAACTATACACTTTAACCCATATAGAAATAGTATAATACATTTATTTACTTCACAAGAATTCACAAGCATTCAATCATTGGCTTCCAACAGTTGTTCCTAATCTGGGGGTCTCCAAAGATTCTCAGGGGGTCCCCAGGTTTTTAAGTAAGAAGAACAAACTAGATTATTTTGTTGAATTTAATGAAGGAATGGCCTGTTAATTCTATCCATGGGTTTCAGCTTCCTGTGATATGGTGCCATTTTGAGGACGGTTGACCATTCAAAAGATCCAAAATTATCTTCAATAACTTTTCATGACACTGAAACCCATGAACAAAGTATTACCGTAATTTCCGGACTATTGAGCGCACCTGAATATAAGCCTGCTTCAACGAAATTTTAAAAGAAAAAAATAAGTACATCTATAGGCCATACTTGTCTAAAAGCCTTAAGCGTCCACATTGTATCTTGAGATATTTACACTGAAAGATTTTTTTAAGTTTTTAATTAAAAAGCGGTACATGCGTTTTTGGAACATGACAGTATTAAGACAGGATTATCAGACGACAGGCGCGGTAGAGCGAGAAGTGACGTAGATTAGGAGTGTAACATTATCCAAGTCTCACTATACAATATTGTTACGGTACGATATTTATTGCGATATCATGGGAAAACTCACAATATGATGGGGAGGATTAGGGATGTAACAATATCCAAATCTCTCGATATGATATTTTCATGACCATCTCACAATATATTTATTGTGATATTTTGTGGAGACTAACAAAACTGTGAATATTCTACTTTTTCCTCTTAAAATGCCTTGACAAGCTTTAATCCAAAGAACTAAGACTTAAAAGTGCTTAGAACTGTTATTTCTTCATGTAGTCTGCAATGAAATGGAGCAAAGGATTGTGGTCTATGTAGTTTTTCAGCTATTGCTTAATTTACTCTTAATTTAAGCAAAGAGATTTGTAATTCGATACATTGTGGTGGTCCACGACATTATTGTGAGAACTTTGACAATACAATATCACGATATTTGGGTTATTGTTACATCTCTAACGTAGATTCAGCAGATTTCAGGCAGGGTGGGGCTATTTGACAATACAATATCACGAGATCAGGTATGAGTGGATGTCCGGCTACTGAAGTTCGAGACATTTCTTCTCATCATTTACGCACTCGCTTTCATGTTAACTCTAGATCCATGTGTTAATCGCACAGACAGTGGCGCTTTCTGTATCCACTGTGTAGATAAACGAATAATCCGTCCATAAATCAGCCACATCGTCGTACAGGTCGCAGGGTTCAAAGTGTGAGAAAAAAGTAGCGGCTTATAGTCCAGAAATTATGGCACACAAACATAATCATTGCATGTTTATTGACTAGAAAATAATAATGTTGGGGTCATAGCCATGTCCACAGGTAAAAGAAATCAGTTTACCACGTGTAGTTTACACCATTACTCATCCCTGTAAACACACAGTTACAGACGGCTAATATTGCTCTCTTACTTGGTTCAAAAGCGTTCACTCTCTGCATTTCTCATCACACAAACCGGGAATGTTTTCATTGTGAGTTTTTCTTTACATTGCGCTTGCCAAGGTAAATGTGATCACATCTTTCGCTTCCTTTCTCCTCTTCACAAACTCCATCCATTCTTCAGCATCAACAACACAACCGTGACCATAATGGGGTCCCTATAGACAGCACCCGAGGGTCACTCCGGCGCCCAGGGGTCACTCGGGCCCTGTAGGTGTGGGTATAACACTCACCCCTTCTTCTTCTCTGTGAGGGTTCAGCTTGTTGTAGATCGCCTCGATAACGCTGCGTCTAAAAGCACAAAGGGAAAGAGACATAAATTGCTTGGAAAGGAGCTCTGGCTTCTGCGTAGTCTGTTAATGGTTGGTAAATGTGTATTGATCGACTCTTCTTCCGCTCTTTATAAACATCCATAAATGGGAGTCTTTTTGTGGACTGTTAATGCACTGTGGGATTCTTAAAGCTACACTGTGTAACTTTTCCGGTGGAGGTTCGGTCAGATGTTTTTGTCCGTGAAAATGTTATTGCGTAGTCTCAGAAGTTTCACAGTGTGGTATTAAACTTTTCTATCTTCATGGAGACTAGGGCTGGGTATCATTAAGAAGTTGCCGATACGATACATACCTCGATACACAGGCCACGATACGATACATATCTCGATACAGAGCACTTTCGATTCGATATGATATATTTCAAATTGATTCGATGCGAGTCAATAAAAAATAAAGGCTAAATCATGGCTGTGACACTAAAAGTCTTTGTTAAACCACTTCTTGTGCAAAGTTCATATGAAACACAAACATTTTAATCATAAAAACAGTAAAAATATCAAATGTGTTGAATAAATGAGCTTCCTTTCACTCCACAAGCAACAAAACTGTAGCTCTGTAACAAAATAATTTAGTAAAACATGCCTAAAAATACTTTTGGTGAAATATCGATACAGTAGCCCACGATATCGATACTGTATCATCACATTAAACGATACGATATATTGATATTCCGATATTTTTGCACACCCCTAATGGAGACCAAACCAGACCAAGTTACAGTTACAGGTCAGATCTGTGGAGAGGCGACCCCGCTCACAGTCAGAATCTGTTTTTGAACTGTAAAACCACCTGTAATTTAATAAATGTAATGTAGAGCTGTTTAATGTCATACTGTGGAACATTCCAGACATATCCATAGAAACAAGCAGCAGTTACATAGTGCACCTTTAAAGATACACTGTGTAACTTTTCTAGTGAAGACTTGATCACTTTGATTTGAATGTGCCTGTGCTTTCTTTATCATTATTATTAGTTCATACAACCATAAATGAAAAAAAAATAAATAAAAAATCATCAATCTCAATTTTTTTCATTCTCACTGCGATTTATTTTGTACAGTCATAAATGATAAACTTTTGCGCCGCTGTTAACATTATTATTAGTTTGTATGACCATAAACGGAAAAAAAACAAAAAAACAAAAAACAATTGGCATCTTTAAAAAAAAAATGAAGATAAAAACTAAGAAACTAAGAGAAAAAGTGATTGTATTTCTGTTGGAGGGGTTAGCATAGGGAACAACCTAAGTGCTGATTTAAAAAAAACATTAATAATAATAATGATAAATGCAAACTTGCTGTTCATACGCTGCTTTTGTTTCTAAGTTTTTTGTTTTTTTTTACTTCAGCCTAAACCTTTCGGTCATGATCCATGGGGTTGTAGTCTATGTTTTGTTTTGTTTTGTAGTGCTTCAAAATGACCGAATAAACTACTACTAAGAAAAACAAAAACAAACAAAACAACCTCACATATCATGGCTTTAAATGTGTCTATCTCCATGAAACAAGAAGCAGGTGGTGTAAATAAGCCAAGTTACAAATTGGGTCTGTGGTGAGGTGACCCCGCTCACAGTCAGAATGTTAGTTTTTCTAGTTATTTTTGAGCTGTAAAAGCACCTGTAATTCAATAAATGTAAGGTAGAGCTGTTTAATGTCATACTATGGAACATTCAAGACATATCCATAGAAACAAGCAACAGTTAAATAGTGCAAGATACACTGTGTAACTTTTCTAGTGAAGACTTTATTACTTTGTCTAGATTGTGACTGTGCTTTCTTTATCATTATTATTAGTTTGTACAACCATAAATGGAAAATAAAAATAAAAATCAATCAATAATCTCACATTTTTTCATTCTCACTGTGGTTTATTTTGTACAATCATAAACGATAAACTTTTGTGCTTTCGTTAACATTATTATTAGTTTGTATTACCATAAATGGAAAAAAACAAAAACAAAAACTGTCATCTTTAAAAAAGGAAGATAAGAACTAAGAAAAAAGTGATTGTATTTCTCTTAGAGGGGTTAGTATAGGGAACAACCTAAGATGCTGATTAAAAAAATTTAATAAATAAATTGTAAAATGTAAACTTTCTGTTCATACGCTGCTTTTGTTTCTAAGTTGTTTTTTTTTTACTTCAGCCTAAACCCTTTCAGTCGTGATCCATGTTTTTAGTTTTATTTTGTTTTGTTTGTTTGTTGTAGTGCTCCAAAATGACCTGAATAAACTACTGCTACAAAAAAAAAAGTCACACATTATGGCTTTAAATGTGTCTATCTCCATGAAAACAAGAAGCAGGTGGTGGAAACAAGCCAAGTTACAAATTGGGTCTGTGGCGAGGTGGTGTGGTTTTCAAGGTATTTTTGAGCAGTAAACCAGTAATTAAATAATGTTAAATAGATTGGTATAAAGACATATTGCGAAACATTAGAGAAACAAGCATGCAGCAAAACCAGAAACGGTTCCACAGAGCTTCTTAATGATACACGTACAACAGGTGGTGAGGTAATTGAAAGTGTGATTTTCAAACCACAATATTTGTTTTTCCTGTTAATCGAGGTCAACAGCGCAAAGTCAAGTACCAAAGCTTAAAGAGTTAGTTAAAAAAATATTAGTTATAAGTGTTTAATTCTTTTTAGGATTTTTGTGTTTGACTATACTGGGTAAAAACGCATTAAAAAACAGGTTAGAGGTGTGCAAAAATATTGAAACATCTCTATAAAGTATTGTTTAATGTGATGATACAGTATCGATATCAGGGACAGCAGTAACTATATATCTATAAGAGTATTTTTTGGTATATTTTACAACATTATTTTGTTAAAGAGCTATAGTTTTGTTGCTTGTTTAGAGGAAGGAAATTCGTTTATGCGACACATTTGACATTTTCACTGTTTTGATGATTAAAATGTTGGTGTTTCATATGAACTTGAAGTGGTTTAACAAAGACTTTTAGAATCACAGCCACGATTTAGCCTTTATTTTTTATTAAACTGTATTGAATCGATTTAAAATATATCGTATTGAACCGAAAGTACATTGTATTGAGCTATGTATCGTATCAGCAACTTCTTAATGATACCCAGCCCTAGAGCAGGTATACTATGAGGGAGCAATTTAACAATAAAATTTAACAAAACACCTATAATTTATTGTTTTATAAAAATCAGAGGGACATTTTTTGAATAAAGTGAATATTTAAAATTTTTAAAATACACTAAATATTTTTTTTCCTCATAACTAACATATATGGGAGTTGATTTTGAAATACAAGTGTAGAAAACTTGTTTGTGATGTGTACATGTTCACCACTAGATGCCTCCAAAAACAATACACTGCACATTTTCTAATCTGTTTAATGAGGTGGACCCTTAAACGACCTTAAGCTTTCAAGAAATGCTGTGCGCATCATTTCACAAGATAAAATCATTGGCCTTTATTAAAATCCACAAACCAGTGTCGTCAGTGGTTTTTCTGCCAGTCTGGACTTATCCTTGTTTATATTTCCCATATCTGATCGTTAGTGTCTCAGCCTCTGCCAAATCAGAAGAACTTCATGCCCAAACTTGAATACAGGCCTTCTCTCAATATCTGAATCACTGTGAGGGTGCGTGCTGAAATTTGAATAATTAATCTATTTAAAAAATACAAAGGAAGAAATAACTGTTGATTTAATGACTCAATATTACACAGTTTTATGATCTGTGTTATAATGTTGTTCCCTTATCACAAAAACAGACCTGGAGTTGTGTTTTGTTTTATTCACATGTTTAAAACACAAACCCTGTATATTTAGGCTGCAGACATGTCAGACTCAGGCCCGGGGACCAAATTTGGCCCGTGATATAATTATATTTGGCCCGCGAGATCATATCAAATAAGTTCTAGAGCTGGCCCGCTGACTACAGTTAGACTATAGAGACATTATTTTTAAATTTTGTTATTATTTTATATTATACTTGTTCTGGGTTAAGTGTTTAAGCAAAACTAATATTAAACATTTATTTTCAAGAAAAGGTTTAACATTACATCGAAAGAAGAGAAAACATGCACATGTTGTTGAAATTTTTCAATAAATATTTTGGTGAACAACTTAGTCCCAGTTTTAAATTTTGACACCTCTGTTCAAGAGCATTTAATTTGAATAATTTAATCTCATCAAATTCAAATGTCACTTACTGCCCATCTTTAAGTAGTCCTTTTTGGTCACTATATTTAACCTTTAAATTGTTCATTAGATAATGTTTAGTGGTAGAAGAATGGGAAACAAAGTGTAATTTATGATGCTTTTGTATAATCCAGGATGTTTTAGACTAAAAGTGGAGAATTTTAAGATGGGAAATGTTACTGTAAACTCTCTGTGGATGCTGCTTGCTTACAACAGTCAATTCCCAGAGCCACACTGGGGTAATTGGGCTTTCTCTGTCACTGGCCCCACACTCTGGAACAGACTGTCCCCCGGTATGAGCACTATCACAGACTGGCCTGTTTCAATCCAAACTCACAGCGTACAGTATCTATTCAGACTGGATTGGTTTTTAATGTTTTGTTTTATTGATTTTATTGGAAAGCACTTCGGTCACCGTGAGTTTTGTAAAGGGCTCTTTAAATAAAGAGTGATTGATTCCCAGCCTCTGATAGCATTACATCTGTCAGCTCGTGTACCCGTGTGGACTCAGTGCAGGACTCACTTGCTGGCCAGGCCTCCGCCCGGGGGGAGGTTGGGGATGTTCTCAGACGCGATGCTCCTCAGGACGGTCACCAGGTCAGGCAGTCCACTCTCTCCACAGCCCCCCAGGAGGTCTACAAACAACAAGAGTCAGAGTTTGAAAAATGAAGCTGCAGAGAGGGCAAAGACATAGATTTTCTTTTTGTCCTAGGTTCAAAGAAAATATATTTAATTATTGTATTTTTCAGACTATAAGGCGCACTGGATTATAAGGCTCAATATCAATAATGTTGAATTCTTTCATCTATTTTCATACATAAGGTGCACCAGATTATGAGGCGCATTAAACAAAACAGACGACACTTGAGACTGATCCCTCATGATCCATTGGCAGATCATGGCATAACTCACCCGGTGGTGTCTTGGTGAGCTGTGTATTATGAATGTGAATTTTTTTTTTTTTTTATTTCCTCCAAGGCCGACTCAAATATACACCAAGTAATAATGTGTGTAATGCAAGTTTGCGCACATTTGTTTACTTTTTACAGAAACAAAACTTAAAACCACATGGTTCACTTGCATAAACTATAAGTGCTGAAAAAAAGCCTGAGCTTTCTCCTTGTGCACTGATGCTCAGCTTCTGTCGGACTAAAGGACACGACTTTTCAGAGATTATTGCTTCGCAAGGCTCCTGATTTCGGCAGTCGTAATGCTCCGACAATCCATCAAGCGGTGTGGCTTCATAACTTACCAAAGTCGTACTAAAACATTTTGACAGATTTTTGAGCGCCGTGTGCCACATAAAATTGGTTCGAGGTCAGTAAAGACAACCAGAATTAATACATAAAACGTACCGGATTATAAGGCGCACTGTCGATTTTTGAGAAAATTAAAAGGATTTTAAGTGCGCCTTATAATCTGAAAAATATGGTATGTTATTTAAAGGTGCATTGTGCAACTTTTCGGGTGGTTGTATTCATGGAGATGTTATTACTTTGCCTGGAATGTTCCACAGTGTGACATTAAACACATCCATCTAGCATTTATTCATTACGGGTGTTTCTATTGCTCAAAAATGAATAATTCCTTCTGTGAATAGGACGTCACCCCTTTTACAAGAAATAATGAAGGTGTTACTAAGTCTGTAGCGATCGTATTGTGTCTCGCATCATTAGCTTTGCATTTTTGCTGTCAGACTTGATCAAAATTGCAACGAGCTAATGACCCTAGCCGTAAAAATACAAGAAAACGCTTCATAATAACATTCGTCCTGCCCATAGACATATCTCCCACTCACACAGAAAAACAGAAACAGCAAAACATATCAGCGGTTTGTAGAAAATATTTGCACAATTTAAAGAATGTTTGTTTTGCCCTGATATGTGCACACAAAGTCAGCTCTGTATGAGGCCACTGGATTCAGCTGACCCTCCAAAATCATTTCTCAAACCGCCTGAGGTCATCGGGTCAGAGCTCTCACCCGAAATGACCCGTATGTGGGGCCAAAACTCAAAAATTAAAGGTCTTAAAATCGACTCTTGTGAACTTTAAGCCGTGTTATAATGTTGCAAACTCATCAAAAACAGACAGAATATTAGTTTGTTTACATTTCCAAAGCTCAGCATGCTCTGGTCCACCTTGTGATGTCAAGTTAACAGCTTTTTTACATTTAATACAGTAGAGAGACAGCCTAAATACGCAGGGTTTGTGTTTTAAACATGTGTGAATGAAAAAAAACACAACTCCAGGTCTGTTTGTGATGAAGAAACAACATTATAACACATCAGAAAATAGTGTAATATTTGCCCTTTGATGTTTTGGGTGAAGAAATAAGTAATTTTTCCCCTACGTCAAAAGTTAATATTTAGACAACTTTTATAACAGCATTTATTATTTACAAGAGGATTTCACAGCAAAGATGCTTATTATAAAGCTATAAAAAGTTATAGCCATACAAATATAGTTACTGTAATTTGAATATCCAATCCACGCATGTTTGTCCTGTGTAGATAAAATATGGGCAAACACAGTTCAGGATTTGTAAACTGTGCTGGTGGTGTAGCGGTGTATTAGTCTGACATTCTTGGATCAGTTTTTGTGGAGCATTAATTGTTACCTTGGTTAAAAATCCTTCCATTGCAAAGCCCTACCGTACGCTTTCCAGTAATGTCTATTGTACATTGTGTCTTCTGTTTGTTTTGTGGTAAACTGACCTTGTACACGCGTCTCCAGATACTTGTCCAGCTCCTCCTCTTTCTTCAGAGCCTCCTCTGACACTTTGGGCGCTCCAGGCAAACACACCAGCACCACGCTCATGTTGTCCCGGCTCCCCTGAGGGACACGCAGGAGACACAGAGTCACAAACGGAGGCAGGAGGGGAAAGGGGAATAGAAGGGAGGAATAGTTTGAATAGTGACATTTACTGGGGTTACAGGGACACAAGTTATATTGGTTCCCTTTCCCCAGAGTGTAAAAAGAAAACAGCTTGAAGATGAAATAGAAACAGAGACTGAAAAAGCCTTTAGATAAATACTTGTGCAAAGCTCTGTCCTCCGGCCTCACCTTGTGCAGGCAGGTGTCCACCACAGAGTTGCAGATCTTCTCCAGGTCCTCACACACCTGCAGTCTGGAGCGCACAAACTCACACACGTCCTCGTTGGACATGACGTCCCAGATGCCGTCACAGGCCAAAACGATAAACTCGTCCCCCTCTCCGGCACGCTCCAGCACACACACCTCCGGCTCTGGACTCACCAGCTGCTCCGTGGGGCCTTTACCGTCCACACATTTGTAGTCGTAGTCTCCCAGCGCCCGGGACACGGCCAGGGAGCCGTTGACCCTCTGGATCATGACGGAGCCCCCGGCTTTCTGGATGCGCTCCTTCTCTCGAGGCAGGTTGGGTTTATGGTCCTGTGTGGAGAAGCCCACGGTGCCGTCGCGGCACAGCACGGCGCGCGAGTCCCCACAGTTAATGAAGTATAGGTGTGTGGGGCTCAAGAGCACGCACACGGCCGTTGACCCGCTGCGGTCCAGGCCCTGGCGCAGGTCCGAGAAGCTGCGCATGTACTCGTCTATGTTGAGGAAGCCGGAGCGGATCCCGTCCTTCACGCCCTCCACGGAGCAGGGGCTGGAGCCGAAGTCCGCGCCGCCTGACAGGATGTGCTCCAGCAGGTGTCCCGAGCAGTAGTTGGCGACTCTGGAGCCCGCGTGCCCATCGTACACGGCGAAGAAGGACCAGTCGGCGAGTCCATGGGGCAGCCCCACCACGGCCGTGTGCGCGTCCTCCATCTCCACCCTCCAGCCCTGCATGGAGCTCAGGCCGTACCTCAGCCCGTTCCCCTCGCCATGGGCACTGTGCTTCTCTGTTTTGGGTTTGTCCAGGAATGCACCCATCGCTGCCTACACCTGCGGGCACAGAGGGAGAGCGGTCAGTCAAGAGAGTGAAGCAACCTCCAATAACATTCAACAGCAACGGAAAAGGCCATATACTTTCGTTGTGTGGACAGCTGGACAGAGAAAGATAAAGGTTAGTCCTGATAATCCTGACGTCAATGAAAGACAAACCCACTCACAAATTTGTAGTTTTAAGAATGAAAGAACTGACATTTTTGTTCAATTTTTCAGCGTGAGTATAAAACCATCCCATTTCTCCAAAGGGTCAGAAATGAGAGGAAGAAGCAGAAGCGTGAGAGTCTAGCCTTTGCTCGACTTTTACACTCGTGTTGTTTAAATTAATGAAGGTTGTGGCCAAAGAGCAAAGGTCTGCAGACAGTCGTGTGTGCTCTGAAAACACAGATCCTCTTTGACTTCATTTAACTATTAGCTCAGTTACAGCTCACACTAAAAGCCAATCACGTCATTACCGAGCTCTCAGATTCACACCACCGGCCTTGTGTCCTTCCGGGCTCCCTTACTCTCAGACAGTATTGTGCAAGTGGAGCCTGTGGGAAACATGCAAACTGCAGACAATGATTTCATTTCTGCTCTGGCCCAGGCCCCGACCCCGAGTTACACCGACTGTCAGCAAAACGTGACACGGCCAAGCTCCGTGTTCACTGCACGGAAGAGCACGGAAAAGAAGACTCCAGGAAGGAACGAGAGAGGAGGAGGAGGAGGGAGAGAGAAACAGAGGAAGACAGGGGAAGAAAGAAAAAGACAAAGAAAAGCAGATGGGGGGAGAAAGAAAGAGAAAGAGAGAGGGAGAAAGAGGCAGAGGGGACAGAAAAAGGGGTGAAATAAAGAGAGGGGCAGAAAAAGAGAAACTGGGAGAAAGAAAGAGGAAGAGAAGCAGAGAGGGGGGAGAAAAAGAGAAAGAGAGGCAGGGAGGACAGAAAGAGAGGGGTGAAATAAAGAGGAAGAGCGGCAGAGTGGGGGACAGAAAGAGAATGGAGGAGAAAGAACCGGAAAGGGAGAGGGGGAGAACGAAAGAGAGGCAGAGTGGGGGCAGAAAACGAAAGAGGAAGAGAGGTGGGGGGGGGGGGGGCAGAAAGAGAAAGAGGGGGAGAAAAAAACAGAAAGAGAGAGGAGGAGAAAGAAAGACAGGAAGAGAGCCAGAGGAGGGGACAGAAAGAGAAAGGGGGGAGAAAGACAGGAAGAGAGGCAGGGGGGGCAGAAAGAGAAAGGGGGAGGGAAGACAGGAAGAGAGGTAGGGAGGAGGAACAGAAAAAGAGAGGGGGGAGAAAGAAACAGAAAGAGAGACAGAAAGGGAGAGAGAAAGAAGAAGAGATGGAGAGAAAGAGTGAGGGGGGAGAGAAAAAGAGCGAAGGGGGATAGGCAGTGAGCGATAGAACAAGAAAGAGAAAAAGGAACAGAGAAAGCGAGAAAGAAAAAGAAAGAGGGATAGAGAGAGATAGAGCAAGAAAAAGGGAGATAGAAAGAGAAAAAGATGACTGATAGACATGAAGAACACAGGCAGGCAATTAGAGATAAAAACAAAAAGAAAAAAGAGAGATAGACTAAGATAAATGGATAGAGAGAATAGAAAGAGAAAGAGAGAAAAGAGTCTTATTTTTCAGAATTACAGTCTGTTTTTAAGTAGAAAAAACAGACAGATCGAAAGACAGATGTATAGATAGAGGAGGAGAGAGAGAAAGAAAACGAGAGAGGGAAATGGAGAGATGATTAGAGAGAGAGAGAGAAAGACGGGTCTTATATTTCAGAACTACTCACATTAAGTAGAAAACACAGGCCAACAGCACCTGACCTGGTCCATCATAAAAAATGTAAAGACCTTTGAAGCAGGTGTCACTCGGAAACGACAACTTCATCTGGTTTTTAAAGGAGCTGACGAGGACGATTTTAACACGAAAATTAAACCAACACTAATAACTTTAACTGCAGTAACGTCAATGTCAACAAGAGAGGTCTTTTTTTTCTATTATAGTGCAAAAAAAAATATTATAATTAACTTAAAGGGAGCATATTTCTGATCTACGTTATAATGTTTCCTCATCACAAACACACACAAACACTCTGTTCCATCTTGTGAAGTCATGTGGTAATACAGTTGCTCCACTGTGTTTTTAAACTCCATAAACCTTCACTAGAATCATTTGGACATTTTCGGTCCTGAAATTGCCAGTCTCTTCTGAACAAAAGGTACAAAGCAGCTGAAAACTTAAAAAACTACCGCTTCATGATGTCACAAGTTGGAACTTATTATTATAACAAGTTATTATTATAACGTGTGAATGAAACAAAACACAATTCCAGGTGTGTTTTCGATGAGGTAACATTATAACATAACTTAAAGCTCACAAGAGTCGTTTTGTTATAATATAGGATCTTTAAATACATGTTTTACCAAATAAAGGTTGAAATGAGGTGATTCAATAGCCAGGCTGGCACCACCTAGTGCCTCCCCTAAATTTCATTTCTCTCCAGCGACTAGGTCAGGAGTCAGAATACACTAGACGGTTTGCAAAAACCCCAGAATTTGTAGACCGCACACCGGCCAATCAGCGAAGAGCTGTGAAGCCATGACTGTGTCCCTTTTGTGGTACAGCACAACAGTAAACAAAGCAGTCGAGATGGATGTAGACAAAGATTTACATTCTGTGTTGGCAACGATTCCTGAGATTGAGGATTTAAATCCAGAACAAAGAGAATGTTTGGTGAATTTTATCAAGGGGAAAGACGTTATTGCCCTTCTTCCTATGGGATTTTGCGCATTACATACGTTATGACCAAATAGCAGCGATTGGTTAAATAAAAAAAGTACCTGTGTACCATCAAGCGAACGAATCCTAATTCTGCAAGGTCAGAAGGTTTCCACAAAGTTAAACTGTCTGATGAATCAGGCTAGTGATTCAAGGCTATAAAGACTATTTACGAATAAAGTGTATAATTGATGACATTCAGAAATTGTTCATTCTTTTTTGACATTCAGATGTAATATGTTATAAAATGGTCTACGTATGCCTTTTAGAATTTCTATAGAGCAGATGACTACTGCAATTATCAAAATACGAACACTATTATTTTCTATAATTGACTAGTCACAATTATAGTGGTTCCAGCCCTAATCCTCCTTAATATGAATCACATATGTCGGTCGCCATAGGGCTGAGATCATAGTTCGATTTCATCATAACACTGCATTAGCCACACTTTGAAACAGTCCAACTCTGAACAGAAACAGACATGACACCACCGCACTAAAAGGCATTAATCACGTTTCACTGCTGTAGGTAATATTTTGGTCCAAACACAGGCTCCATAACGCTTGTGTCTATTTTTCCTTATCACCATGGAGACACATTTCCATGACTCTGTATTGCAGTAATCTACAGACACCTGAGTCAGCGCAGACGCTCTTCAAACCCTGTGAATGTGCCGCTTTATTTTCCCACAAACGGATCGATCCAGGTCTAAATGTCGAGAACTGCTGCAGCTCCTCAGGTCAAGGTCCGCACTGCGCCGAGACAAGAGACTTTAAGATTGTTTTATTATTTTATTTTAACGTTTGACTGATTTAATGCCATACTGTGAAACATTCTGGGCAAAGCAATAACTCCATGGAGACGAGCAGTTGGCAGACCCGACACCAGAAATGTTACAGAGTGTACCTTTAAGTGAACATACAGTGTGTCAAACAGTCCTGCAATAATATTCTCTCTAACGCAGTTCTAAATATCTCACTGTTTTCTCTCTTCCGGCCATGCTCCTCTGCACCCTCTGCTCTTCCTCTGCGCCCTCTGCTCTTCCTCTGCGCCCTCTGCTCTTCCTCTGCGCCCTCTGCTCTTCCTCTGCGCCCTCTGCTCTCTCTGCGCCCTCTGCTTCCTCTGCGCCCTCTGCTCTTCCTCTGCGCCCTCTGCTCTTCCTCTGCGCCCTCTGCCTTCCTCTGCGCCCCTCTGCTCTTCCTCTGCGCCCTCTGCCTTCCTCTGCGCCCTCTGCTCTTCCTCTGCGCCCTCTGCTCTTCCTCTGCGCCCTCTGCTCTTCCTCTGCGCCCTCTGCTCTTCCTCTGCGCCCTCTGCTCTTCCTCTGCGCCCTCTGCTCTTCCTCTGCGCCCTCTGCTCTTCCTCAGCCCTTCCTCTACACCGGCCTCTTCTGCTCCTCCTCTACAGAGGCTTCTTCTGCTCCTCCTCCACACCGGCCTCTTGCTCTCTTCTCATCTCCTCCCCTACACCCTCTACTCTTCCTCTACACTGGTCTCTTTACTTCCTCTACACCGGCCTCTTGCCCTCCTCTACACCGGCCTCTTGCTCTCCTCTAAACCGGCCTCTTGCCCTCCTCTACACCCACCTCTTCTCCTCCCCTACACCGGCCTCTTTCTTCCTCTACACCGGCCTCTGCTCCTCCTCTACCCGGCCCTTTTCTTCCTCTACACTGGCCTCTTTCCCTCCTTTACACCGGCCTCTTTTCTTCCTCTACACTGGCCTCTTTCCTTCCTCTACATCGTCCTCTTTCCCTCCTCTACACCGGCCTCTTCCCTTCCTCTACCCTGGCCTCTTTCCCTCCCCTACACCCTCTTTTCCTCCTCTACACTGGTCCCTTTCCCTCCTCTACACCCTATACTCCTCCTCTACACCGGCCTGTGCCCCTGCGCTGGAGGACAGACATGTGCCCAAAAAAGGCTGGCAGGTCTTGGGAAGGAGTGCCCCAGAGCCGCGCACCGTCACCGTCTGCACACGAGAAAAGACCTGCTATAAATACTCGCGCACACTCACATGTCGGCTCAGGGTGGGGCCGGCCATTCACATTTCTTACACCGCACGGATCCACACGAGAGACACTTTTCAAACAGGTACACGGACCTGTCACAATACGCACTGCACGGATTTTCACACATAACAGTCCGAGATCTCAGTACCCATAATCCTCCAGTGTCTGTTTAGTCAGAGGAACCCCCCCAACCCCAGCCTCCCACACTCAGGTCCACGAGGTACAGCGGCTGAAAATGGATT